CGGGCTCCCTCAACGTACAAGTCGGCCAGAGTAGAGCAGGGTATTGCCGGGGCTGCTGTTTCTCTTTTCCCTCGTTGTCTTACATGCTTTCTTGCCTCCTCAGGTGGCGTTTGCGGCCTGGGGCCTATCTGTGGTTCGGTTGCTTCCTGCACTGGTCTCGTGTCCTAGCTCTTCAGTGCGTCTTCACCGCTGTGGGAGGGCGGAGGGCGATCTTGTCACCTAGCACGATTTTATCTTGTATCCCCTTGCTGATCTTATAGATAATGTTCTTGGCTGGATGTTTGAACTCACTGGGACAAAGGGAAAATGAATTTACCTCTTCCTTGTTCCGATTCTGTTGTCTGTTTCCGTACCTTGTTAGGCCTGAAGGTGCAGAGTTTTCCTGATTATGGAATCTCCATGCAGCATGTGAAACACAACACATTGATTTGCTGAAAAGAGATGGAATCCTATTTGTAGCAGATAGGCGTGGTGCTGTTACTGCTGTTGCCTGTCAGTGATTTTTTTTGTGTGCTCTACCCTGCTTCCTTTCTGGAATCTCGTTTTGATGAAGCCAGGAGTTGTTTGGCTTTTTTTAATGACCAGTGATGGGTGTCATATAAACTCAACCAGAGTGGTTGCTTACATGGATTCCTGCCCCAAAATGAATACAAGCTTGATAGAAAAGACAAAATACATATATCTCCACCAAAAGTCTTCTTTTTCTGGGGTGGAAAAACATATACTTGTTTATTTTATCCCCATTCTAACTAAGGGGTATGTGAAGTCTGTTATAATGTAATGTGAAGGCTGCTGTGAAAAAAAATGCACTGGTACTTTGATTCAAAGCACATTTGAAATGTCTGAGCTGCTATGTGGGGAGAAGGCCACCTCAGGACATTAATTAATATGCATAAATGTAGCGGTGGAAGGGGCTTAATCACTCCATAAATGGAATATATCATATTTTTAAAAACTTAAATTATGCAAAATAATTTTGGAGGTGCTGGGGTAGTTTTCAGTGGCATGTGTAACTGAAAAGGACGAGCAACTGTGGAGGTGGTTAGTGTTTTGAGTATGGAGGTAAAAGTTTGCTTAGTGTGACCAGCAATCATCTGAAAACCTTTATATATGAAGATAGGTGGGATAACATTTGATACATTTCTGTGGTTTATTAATTTTTATTTCTGCTAGTGATAGGGAGTTACAGTCAGCTGTCAAGTAAAATAATTTATGTAGATAATGGTGCTCATTTGGATCATCAAGCTAAAAGTAATAGTTTAGTTAGTGCAAAAGCACCAGAAGTGGTAAGCTGAAGAGAAGGTGGCTTCAGCTTCAGGCTGTAGAAAAAGGATGCAGTTGTAACTGTTCTTGAAACTCTTCTTCCCTCCCTTTTGGCAGTGTTCAGTTCAGTGCAACTAGTTTGAATTTGCTGCAGTGCTCGAGATGGTTGGTTTCTTGGGACCTTGAATAGTGGAAGCTTAATGAAGGGAGAGACATGTGAAGGTTTATGCACTCTTTACTGTCCTTGATTTACTTTCCTTTATTCTCTGTTTTCCAGATACTTCATCAGTTGAGGCCTTACCTAGGAAGCCTCGTTGCTCAGCAAGTAACAGTGAGTTGACAAGAAACAACTGATTTTAACTGTTTTTCTTGGAAAAAATAAACTGCTGATGTCTCAGATCATAATTTATTGGAGCCTCATCCTGAAGACAAAGCAAGCTGAAAACATAAGGGACATCAAAGAACAAATGGAAGTTGTAGCTTATTTTTCTGGTGGTATATTTTTTTTTTTTTTTTTTTTTTTTTTTGTTTGCAAAGGATTTATTTACTGAAGAAGATTGCTTGTCTAAGTATTGCTGACCTTAAAGCAAAGAATCTTGGGAAAAGAAGACACAAATTGGGTGAAAGGAAAAAGAGGCCATGAAAAAAAAAATCTGACTTGAAAGTTAATTTTTTAAGGGGCTTGACTAGTAGAGTTGGTAACTACCAAATGGGCTCCTTAATGTGATTGTTTCCCATCACCTGAATGACAGAAACCTAAAGCTGTTGTACAAGATTTGGCATGCCAGAGAAATAGTGGCTAGAGCAGCAACAACCATATTGGTGAACATTTTTAGTTTTGGAAATTGTGAAAATAGATAAAGGCATGAAAATAAGGACCCCAGGAGTGGGATTATTTCAACCCTTTAGCTTTGTCAGACAGTTCTGCCTAGTTTTATTATGTATTGTTTTGAATTAAATTACTTCTGTTCATTAATTCTTTGAATTCTTTATATTATTTAGGCATAGATTTAATGTATTCCCGAATTATTCTTATACTAAAATACAGTTTTAAAATCAGTAGTATTTCTATAAAATGCAGTAATAAGAAAATGGAACTTGTCACTTCAAGTAGCATATAGGTCTCCTCACAACTGTGATAACATGATTTATGAAATAATTCATTATTCTAGTTGAAGGGCAGCGTGCTTAGAGTTGTGATACAATTTATGAATATTTGAATATAGAATATATAGATACTGGTTAAAGTTCAAGATTATCACAAGTACAGAACAATGTTTTGAAAACAAATGCAGAGATGATAGTAGGTGGATTTGGGATTGAAGCCTTATGCTAAACAAAGTCACAGTAAATGGGCAAGTATAGCATAAATTGTTTTTCTGTGCTTTGGTAGCTTCTGTATACATATAAGAACTTAGAATTACTTGGCCTGAAGTATCTGCAATTTTCTGTTGGAGCTGTTGCAGATATGCATGAGGAAAATAAAGCTGCAGGAAATGGATGTGGCAAAATTCGAAGCGGCACTCAGAATGAGGCTGCTTTACTTGCCCTGATGGAGAAGACTGGATACAGCATGGTTCAAGAAAATGGGCAAAGAAAATTTGGTGGGCCTCCACCAGGTAAGAGTTTCTTTTGAGATGACAAACTTGGAGTTTATTTGCTGTAAGGAGGGTTATACTGAAAATCTGTGTAGTGCTGTATCCTGTATCTTGACAGTGACCAGTAGCAGATGGCTTGTAAGAAATTGCAGTAACCATGTGTAAATGAAGAGTTCTACTGTTAATTTTGCTTAAGATGTAGTTTCTATAAGCTTGTGTTGCTGCCAGGGGAGATAGTCTCTGTCAGCTCTTTTTTCCTGTTTACCGTCCTGTTTTTTTTCCTGACTGGCATGCTATCCAGAGCAAGCAGCTGATCTGGTACAAAATTGCCTGGAAAAAAACTTTTTTTTTTTTTTTTTTTTTTTCTCCCACCTTAGCACAGTTATTGTTCAGCTTACGTCACATGTGGAAAATGCATCTGTTGAGTGGGGTTTGTTGGGGAAGTGGAGAAAGTGCATTTTCATTTCTTTCTTTGGGTCCTTTGTTTAGATTGCTGCAGACCTGGTGATATTATTAGGTATGTAAGTGTCCTGGGTTCAGCTACAGCAGTCATTTTTTCTCCTCCTTAGTAGCTGGTGCAGTGCTGTGGTTTTGACTTTCAGTCTGAGAACAACGCTGATAACACCGATGTTTTTTAGTTGTTGCTAAGTAATGTTTACTCTGACCAAGGACTTTCTCAGTCTCATGCTCTGCCAGGGAGGAGGGGAAGCCGGGAGGAAGCAAAGACAGGACATCTGACCCAAACTGGCCAAAGGAGTATTCCATACCACAGCACGTCATGCCCAGTGTATAAACTGGGGGGAGTTACCCAGAAGGCCCAGATCGCTGCTCGGGTCGGGCTGGGTATCGGTCGGTGGGTGGTGAGCGGTTGTGTCCTCTCCCCTTGTTATTCCTCTTGTCATTATTATTGGTAGCAGTAGTGGTTTGTATTATACCTTAGTTACTGGACTGTTCTTATCTCAACCCGTGGGAGTTACATTCCTCCGATTCTCCTCCCCATCCCTCCTGGACTGGGGCGAGGAAGAAGGTGGGGAGTGAGCGAGCAGCTGCATGGTTCTGTGTTACTGGCTGGGCTTAAACCATAACAGTAAATCATTAGAATAATGTGGAAGAAAATTTGAGATAACATGGATCTCACTAACACTGGGAGGATTAGAACTAAAATGTTGATTGAAGTTGGATTACTTGAATTACTGCAAAAAAAGGAATCTCGTACTCTATTGTCCAGTGATCAGTCAAGTATCTTGTCAAGGAAACTTTCTCTTAAGTAGGTATCTACTTGAGGAATGGTGCTTTTGGTTAACCATTGGCATATTGGCTCTGTTACATACATGTTGCTCATGGCAAATGTGGCACAAACTGGTTTTTAAGTCAGGAGTTGTAACTTCTTCCCAGTTAGCAGTAATGTGCTGTAATGTTAAGTTAGCATGCAGCTTCAAAATTAGAAGGGGGACTTTTTGAATCATAGATGGCTTTTAGTTACTGAGAATCACAGTTTAATTGGTTACCAGGTTGAGGATAATGGTGAGTTTGTCTAGTTAATAAATTAACATTGTTACTTAATGTCATGACTTCCCTGTGCCATCAAGCATAGTCTCCTTCCCTTTTTCCTGATGAAGGTATGCAGTTGCTTTTGTATTCGGAGTTGCTAAACGGTGTACTGTTGGTTTCTGCTTTTTTTTATTTGGTCAACTGATTGGCACAATGTGAGTGATGGCAGTACTAGCTTGCAAACTGTATTACTTGCCGTGTCCTGTCAGACCTCAGCTGAAGTGAAGTGGTTATAAGTGTTTATAAAGCTGAAAGTCTTAAAGATGTTGGATGCTGTGTGGAACAGAGCCAGACCTTTTCCTGGGTAAGCCATGACAAAGTAGCTGCAAATGCATGTCAGTTGTGATGACTTGGTTGCTTCCATGTAGTTCTTGGTGTACAGTTTATAGAGGAAAATCTATTCTGTAAGAAGGCAAAAGTTTCCCAATTCTGTTAAAATACGTTTTTCATGAGTAGATTATGTGCTCTTTGATTCTTACATGAAGGAAAAAGTTTTATTTAAATGTAGACTCTTACAAACCTATCTGTGTTTTAAGTAATGCTGGGTTCAGTGGGTTGTCATACAGATTTTAGTGAAAAAACAAAAGATGGAATTAAAAAATAAAAAGTGTGGGCTCATGCCTTTTTTTTTTTTTTAACATAAAAAAATTAATTACTGGATGTCAATATGCTAGTTTTAAATAGGAACTAAAAATAAGTAACTCCCACCTTCAAATTGGAAGTCTGGGGGAAATGTGCCTGCCTTTATTTGTACTAAAATTGTTGTTGGACAATTTCTTCTAAGGTTGGGAAGGTCCTCCACCACCTCGTGGATGTGAAGTTTTTGTTGGTAAGATTCCCCGTGACATGTATGAAGATGAATTGGTTCCTGTTTTTGAAAGAGCTGGGAAGATCTATGAGTTCAGACTGATGATGGAATTCAGTGGTGAGAATCGAGGCTATGCTTTTGTGATGTACACTACTAAAGAGGAAGCTCAGCTGGCCATTAAGATTCTTAACAATTACGAAATTCGTCCAGGGAAATTTATTGGTGTCTGTGTAAGCTTGGACAACTGCAGACTATTTATTGGAGCAATTCCGAAAGAAAAGAAGAAAGAAGAAATACTGAATGAAATGAAGAAAGTTACAGAAGGAGTGGTGGATGTCATTGTTTATCCAAATGCCACTGACAAAACTAAAAATCGTGGCTTTGCTTTTGTAGAATATGAATCTCACAGAGCAGCTGCAATGGCTAGGAGGCGGCTTATCCCAGGTAAACCGATTTGCAATTCAACTGCGGTTTTAGGAGAGTATGTGTCTCCATGTTGCATGGAGCGGTGGATCATCTCTGTTTTCCTTTGTTTAAGGTATTTTGAGAGTTATAAAACTGCAGGTGTGCCTTTCAGCTGAAGAGGATTTTGTTTGTTTGTTTGTTTTTTGTTTTGGTTCACGAACATTTTTTCTGTTGTGTTGGGTTTTATTTATTAAGAAACTGAAATTTAAGCAGTTCTGAGAATGAAAGAGCAGACATCTGTTTTATAAACTCAAGTTACTGTAACTTATATCAAGATATGTATTTGTTTGGGCACACATCCAGTTTTCATTTGCATGTGCTGTCCCTGCACATGAGTTCTCTTAAAGGTGAGCTTAAATATACAGCATTTGGGATGTGTCCCTTATTTTCTCTGAGCGGCATGAGTGACATTTTTGATATATCGTGTAAAAATGTTTGAAAGTAGGTCTCTAATCTTTTACTAGAAAATAATTTTAAGAGTTTAGCAAGTAGAAGACAACTTTTTCTTTGCACCTTATTTTAATAATTTCAAGTAGCAATATTTTACATATTTTGCTTAAGTAGATACAGGGGGGACAAACCAGTTTTGTGCAATACACGTCATGTTTGCTTTTTGTAGAGGTAATTGCTAAGAATTATTTTTCTTTTCACTTGCCTATTTCTTACTGTAGTGTTGCTTTGCTGTAGGAACATTCCAGCTCTGGGGTCACACTATTCAAGTAGACTGGGCAGACCCTGAGAAAGAAGTTGATGAGGAAACAATGCAGAAAGTTAAGGTATTATATGTAAGAAATTTAATGATATCTACTACAGAGGAGACAATTAAAGCTGAATTCAACAAGTTCAAGCCAGGAATAGTTGAACGTGTAAAGAAGCTGAGAGACTATGCTTTTGTTCATTTTTTCCATCGAGATGATGCAGTCGCTGCTATGTCTGTAATGAATGGAAAGTGCATTGATGGAGCCAGTATTGAGGTAACACTGGCAAAGCCAGTTAACAAAGAAAGTACTTGGAAGCAACATTTTAATGGTCAGATAAGTCCCAGTTCTGAAAATCTCTTGGGGTTTCCTAACAAAGAAGATGGTCATCAAAAATCCTTAGGGAAACCAGTGAGTCTTCCAGTTCGTCTTAATGGTCAGCACAGTCCAGTGCCCACTGAAGTTGAAAGATACACATACCCTTTTTTTCCAGGAATAAAGCTTACTCCAATTAGCATGTATTCTTTAAAATCCAGTCACTTCAGTTCTGCAGCAATGCATCTGGATTATTTTTGCAATAAAAATAATTGGGCACCGCCAGAGTACTACTTGTATTCAACCACAACTCAGGATGGGAAAATACTTTTGGTGTACAAGGTGCTTATTCCTGGTATTGCTGATGCTTCCCAGAGTATTTTCATGCCAGACAAACTCTGTACAACAGTAGAAGGTGCAAAGGAATTGGCAGCACAGTTCACGCTTCTACATCTAGGTAAGCATAACCACTTCCCATTAGTTCTTAAGAACCGAAAGCTGGAAAAGTGTTCTTTGTGTATATATCTTAGCTTTTGTGTGTATGTTTATATAGATAAGTTAGTCTACAGAAGAATTCTTTCTTGTGTAGCCAGCTGAGTCTGGAACATCAGATGAGAGCACTGCAGAAACACTGTGTAAACATGTATATACAGTGCAATGCTAAGGTCATATTTGCTTACATTTATCTGCTGTAATGATTTATAAGGAAGAACTAGATGAAATGTTAAGTGACTTAGGTAAAAAGTCATCTGTATGATGGTTGTGGTGCTGAACATTTATTTGAAAGCAGAATGGAGACAGCTTCAGGTTCTATGCTTGACCTGCCCATTCTGTGGCTTACAGATAGCATTGTCTAAAAATAGTATTTTCTGTCCTATACTTCCTCAGGAAAGAATTGCCAGAACAATTAAAAGAAAAAAATAGATGAAGAATGATTATTCAAGCTATGGTCAAATCCAGCATGCAAACAAGTTTAAAAAGATGAAGAAAGTATGTGTTGAGATTTTTATCTCTTCAATTATAGCTACAAGTGCTGTAGGGAAAACATTTTAAGGTGAATTTAAATTGACAGTATTTGAAAGCTTTGTAGCACTTCAGTATGCCACATGATCACAGTTAATGTGAATTCTTAAGTAGCAGAATTCCCAGATCCCATGTTTGTTTCTTAAAAGCTGTCTACCTGATGGCCTAGAGCTAGTAATGCAGAGCAGGCAGAGCCATATTTTGAAGCAAACATACATGGCTAGCTTTGAAAGAAGCACCTCTTTCATGTTGATAAACCCCTTTTTCACAATTGGCATTGTCATGGTACTGAAAAGTAGCCCTGAGGAGTCTAGAAATAGAATTTCTTTTCCCTGTCTAATCTGCAGAAGTTGTTTGTGTTCCAACTTAATATAACACAATATTTGGAATGAAACATCTGCAGCCAAAGAAGAGTTGCTAGGTGTGACAGAGGATCCCTCCTTGTCACTGAAGTGTGTTGCATAGTTTGGCGTGTTGAGCGATGGTGCAGGGATGCATGTATTGTGGGGTTTCTTTTTTTTTTTTTCCTCCTTTTTTTTTTTTTTTTTTAGTAGTTATTTTGAGAAAAGTGTGAGTGCGTTTCTTAGAAACAACTTACTGTAAGCATGACTTTACAAAGGTGACAGGGAATAATTCCTTCTGTTAAGTAACTTCTCTTACAGCAACTTAATCTTTGATGATGTGTACATGTCTTTTTTTCTTTTTAAAGCATCTAAGCAGACTAAGGTAAGTGAATGAGAAAGGGCTGCTTTGGTAGAATTTAAAAATTGGACTGTTAGAATTAATAATCTCAAAGTATGCTCTTTGGGTTTTTTTTTTTTTTTGTTTTTTTTTTTGTTTTTTTGTTGGTTTTTTTTTATTATTTGGTGATGCATATTTCTGCATTTACTTCCACATAATATTATGCTTGGTTGTTACTGCATACAATACAGTATGTCCTGAACGGAGAGCAGTACAACAATTAACCACTTGGTGTCGCCTGAATATTTTGAAAATGATGCTTGACGAAAATAAAGCAAACTATATCTTAGTCTTACTAGATAAATCATGAACAGAGCAAGGGAGTAAAAAAAAAAAAAAAAGTCGGGCTTGTTTAAATATATGGAAATCACATGTCTGGATGTCCCTTTGTGAGAAGGGGAGCAGAGCTCCATGTTGAAGTTCAGAAGGTAAAGGTTTGGGGAGGGGAGCTATTTAAAAAAAAAAAAAACCAACTGAATGCCCTGTAGAAGAAATACCTTTTTTCATTAATTTAAATCTAATTTAAACACAAACAAATCTGTGTCTTTAGAAGTTACACAGCACCTTAGTGTTATTTGCAAAATGGTGCTTGGCTGTTAAATGTGGTATCCAGTTACAAAAACATGTAAGAATTCCTACGCTTGTCTGTTCTGGAGGCTGAGTAGATGTGACACAGCTCCAATTTGGAGATTGTATAGTTGTGCTAATTACCACACGCTCTATTCCACCTCTGCTGTAGAAGTAGTGTTAGTGCAGAGTCAGCCCTAAACTAGGAGGTGTTAATTATCATTCTGGTCCTTGGCATCAGTAATGTAGCTTTGTAGTTTATGGACTCAAACTGGCTCATCCAGGTGACTTTCTCTGAAGTATAGGCAGAAGAGAACTTTAAGTTGCATAGATGTGCTCTGAATTGTAGAACTTCCACCTCCCTTTCTTTAGTGAGAGTAAACATCTGAAGCCTAGAAAAGCAGAACATTGTTCTGAGAACGATTGTGGGGTGTTTTTAGTTTTTGTTTTATTTTGTTTTCACTTACTGCTGGTAGAATTCCACTAGTTTAAGGAAATACCAGCAGATGTCAGAACCTCTTTCCAGTCCTTAAAATAATACTCTCTGTAGAAGAGGCTCAGTCCTGGGGAGTTCTCTCGCTGCTGAGTGTGATGGAGAAGAAGGGGAAGAAGTTTTGGTAAAGTTTCCTGAGTTTTGGGGATCTGCCAGTTTTTAGACATGTATTCCACAATAGGGTATTCTGTTTATTCACACATGCTATCCCATGTGGCATCTCACTGAGGCACAATTTAAATTGATTTTTAGCCAGAAGAGAGTATTTAAAAGTGTTTAACAGGAAGTATTTTAAAGAAAAGAAAATATAATGATAAATCTCTGAATTAAGGAAAAGCATTTTAGTAAGTATAGCACATAAATAACAACTTAATTCCAGTTTGCTACATAGAATGTATATAGTAAATGGTAGGGCAACACACTGCCCCCTTCGCTTGATACCTTACTCATAGGGATGTACTGACCTTGAGCTTGAAGGAAGTGATGTTTGAATCTTTGCCAGCTCTCTTGGACCCTGCCCTTACCTTCTAGAGCTAAAATCCAGGAGATTCCTCCAAGTAGGTCTTTGAAAAGTCCAAGATTAGCTTTCCTAAATCCAGGGTTGCAGTCCTACTTAACTGCCCTGCTTCCTCCATGCAGGATCCTGAACTCCATCTCATGGTCCCTGCAGCCAAGGCTGCTCCCAGCTTTCATATCCTGAAAAAGCTCTTTTTTGTTTGTTAGTGCAAGGTCACTGGCTTTGTTTAGCAAATACAGATGATAAGTGATGATTGGTGTGTTGTTTTTTTTAGTGAATTTTAGAAGGGCTTAGAATGTAGTGAAAGATGTTCCTTAAGAGTATGAATTTAGAAGTCTTAAATATTTATCAGATGATTTATGCATAATGGTTTTTAGCACAGTCCCTGGACAAGCATGTGTAACTTCGCTGTCCATGAATGCAGCATAGTGGGATAGTAGAGGCAAGCAAACCTCCCAAGATTGTGTTTGGTGCAGGCTTTTTCCCCCCTCAGAGACACTGTCTTAGCTTCAAAGGGGACAACTCTACTGCTGTAGATGTGCTGATGGATCACTCAGTCTGATGTTCATGTGGGTTTTGCAGCACAAAGGAAGGTTATGGCTTTTACTCCTAAAATGACTCTTGGTAATTTTTCAGTCATTCCTGAATTGTTTCCAACTTGGGTTTATGTTCAGCAGTGGATTGTTACTACACTGGTGACCTAGACTGTTTCTTTGGGTAGTCAGTTTTATGTAAAAGAAGGAGACTAATGTCTCCTCCAATTTGCAAAATCTTATTTTTAACCTTCTGCATTTTATGCTAGAAGGGTGAATGTTTCTTTTTTTTCAAATATGCTATTGTAGATGCATTTAAGTGTAGATGTCTGTCACTTCTGAGGCCTCTCAGTTTTTTAAAATGGGGATTACCCTCTTTTCTGAGTGTTGTGAGATTCATTTTTTAAAAGCTTATAGGTCAGTTTGAAAATAGCATTAAATCCATTCTCAGTGTTAACTTTACTGCTGGAAGTTTCTGAGTCACCCAGGACTTGTCCTGAAGATTCTGTTATTATTCTGTTGCTGCTGCTTAGGGACGGGGAACCTAAATTTGTACATCGATGCCTGTGTAGGATAACTTGGAGAAAAAGCAGTAAGATAAACACAACAATGTTGGACTATGTTCATCCATGAAATTACTTGACTGACTTCAGTAGAATCAGTCACTTCAAAACGTGTATTTACTGAATTTACTGCCCTTTTCTAGTAGGTTCGTGACCCCAGTGGGGTACATCTGGCAGAACTTGGTACTTAGTTGGTAGTACACTCTGAACTAAAGTGCTAAATATACAACATGAAAATACTGTTATGGTATGTATATGTAACAAATTAATACAACTCAGAACAGTGATTAATATACACATTAATTTTGTCTTCATTAATATTTTGTGTTCAGCGGAGGTAAAACGAAGGGCCGTTATTGTAAAGTTTGGTTTTAAAAGTGTGTATATATCTATATATAGATAGATATTCAGATATATATGTGTGTGTATATATATATATATCCTGAGAAAATACTTAGGTTCTGTAACAAATTATTTTGGGGCTTTTTAAAGTATAAGGCTTTTAGGGGAAAAAACTATGGAGATGATTAAGTTCTCATTTTTAATTTCTCTTTTTTTTTTTTTTTAAACTATGTCATTTCTGATGATGCTTGAACTAATATAATTTCTTGTTGATTTTAGTATTACGGGTGCAGAGGAAAGGGAAGAAATCAGAACTGGTGTAAGACTGTGAAAATGTTCATTACACCATTATCTTAAGTTTCTTAATAGTTAAGTCCATCTTGGATAGGTAGTTCGATATGCTTGCTGAAATTGAATTCTCTCTCTTCCCTGCTTCCCCCTCTTTTTCTGCAGCCAACTGTACGCCTTACTTGGCTTGAATTGCCCTGAAGAAGAAGAATTCAGGATGTATTGCTTCAGATCTTGATACAAAAGAAAAAAGACCACCAACTACACTGAAACATTCACTGGAAATTCACATTACATGTTTATTGTTGAATAATTCTTTAAAACATATGTGTGTATTAAACATTTCACTTTAAAGATTAGTGACATTGAATGTTAAATTGTTTTGGATAGCTTGATTAGATTTGTTTTAAGATAATTTAAAGGATTTTTGTTAGCTTTAGTAGTTTATAAAACAATAGTTTATTTTTAGCATTGAAATAATTTGCTACAATTCTTACTCTTGTATTTTGAGTTTCACATGAATTTTACAGCTTCTGTGGTAATAAATCTTAAGCGATCATTAAACAAACAAAAAACCAAAAAATACACCACCTTGGCAGCTCTGCCTTTTCTTACACAAACATGTGTAATATGAAACTTAAATACCATACTCAGATTTGTTTCTGTAACTTGATGCAAACTTTTTTAGGAGGAATGTGCTCAGTAACATCTTAACCTTCTGGTACAGCTTTGCATCAACAGAGGAGTAGTATTTTGAAGGGCCGATTTTGATGCCAACCTACGATCAGGCTACAGAAGATGTATTGCTATAGTCATAATGTTGAGCTTCAATACCTTAGGTAACTCTTGGAGACAGAAATGAGCAAAAAAAAAAAAAAATTGATACATATAAATTACATGTACTTTTATGTACAGGTCACTAAGTTGCATTTCCTGTTGTTAGCACCTCTCTGCTGGACATGTGTGTGCTTCCATGTTTACAGAGGCCTTATTCTTACCCAGGCTATCTCTTGTAACCAGCACTTCTCCTTGCCCGTGGTAGCCATGTTGAACAGCAGTTTGCTCACTTTCTAATCAGGCCATGTTCTTCTTGAAAAAGCATTGTTTAGCATTAAACTGAAAATAGTTTTAAATTTTTAAAATTGGGTAAATATAATTCATTTTGAGTGAACCATCTTTATTTTCATTGTGGCTATTTAGCATTTCTCAGTAAAGTGCTTTATTTATTGAATGACAAAAAAAATAAGGGCTGTGTTTTGTTTTGTCTGTTTTTAAAATCTGAAGCTAATACAGTAGATCATCCTTCTTTTTGGAATTTAGTGTATAGTTTCAGGTCCTGGTCAAAGAATGGGTCAAGTAATGCATGTTAAGAGTCTGAGAGCCTCACCTATACAAGTATTAGTTGTAAGCTGTGTTGTCCAAAAAGTGTTTGTCAAAACTGAGTATTATGTAGACAGAAAATGATGCAATGGAAAGATCTAAAGCTGAATAATTTTTCTTAAAAGCAGTTAACTATTGTGGTCCATCACATATTTTTGTTCAACATGTGTCATCACCACATTAAATTGCCTTTTTTGGTGTTAATTTCAGTGTTGTTATAGTAGTTTAATTTGCATTTGATATTAGCTACATAATAGTTTTAAGTGTTGTGATTTTTAATGTTGAAATCATGTGTTTGACTTCTGTACTTGAATTAACATTTCTATTAAATTTACGCTGTTAGTATTTGGTGTGTGTAAAAGAAAAAAATATTTTTACGCATGGTACCTTCACAAAGTTACTTTGCAGGATTCACTTTGCTTTCTCAAGTAGCAAGCTTTGACCAGAAGCTCCAGTGCAGGTGCTTTGCTGAACAAGAGGAAGGGTAATGAAGTGGCTTAGTGAAACCTTGAAAAAAGAAAAGTAATTTTTAAAATACAAGTTTGCTTCATAGCTTCTGTCCCATTTGAAAGTTGTTAAACTGTTATGATTTCCTGAGGAATTCTGTTGGGAGGAAAGAAGAGGGGGCTTGCATTACTTCCTGTTTAAAATAAGTGGTGCATGAGGCCAAAACAAAAATCTTTAATGACACCTGAAAATACGGTAGGCTTTTTGCATGTGCAAGAAAGATTTGGTAATATTCTGTGATACTTCTGGTGGAAATCTGAGCTAACCAAAGCTAAGTAGAACTGGTATTGTTAGCTACTCAAGGGAATGGCGTGAGGAGCCGCACAAAGATTGCAGAGCATTCAAGTGAATACCTGTAGGAGAGTTGACTTACCCCAGGAACAGAAGGAGGTCCTGGCCAATACTGTAGAAAGACATAGACTGTATTTTTCAAGTGCGCAAAATCGTTTTTGTTCAGATTTCTGACTGGGCTCCCATCTGTGAAGCAGTATTGTGCAAAAAGCACTTTAGATACAAACTAGCAAGTCCCATCATTATTAACATAAGCGTGTACCTTGGCAATTATTTTCAATCTTCCCAACATGCGTGACTCTACAAAACCACAATCAAATATTTGAATGTAATGCCTTATGGGTGGATGTAAGCCAAACAACCCTCAGGCAGAATTTGGTCTTTGTTTTGCAGATAAGAACAAAGGTGTAAGGAATAAACAGCTGAAGCAGCAGTAGCACTCAGTAGCTGTTAATTTATGGGTTTTGAAGTTTATTTAGAACACATCATTAAAGATGTAATCAGTGTGCAAAATTGCAAGCATATTTTTCTTATTTAGAAAAGTCTCACTGGAGCTTATTAACCTTAGAAAAAATAAACCCATGTATTTTTATAAAAACTATGACAAAGGGAAAACATGGTGCTGCGTGATTTTACAGTACTGTTGTATAACTGACAAGTGAATCCGTATACCATCCTGTTCTGTAATTGGTGTAGAAACCAGAAGTCCCTCTGAAAGCAAAGGTCACTGACTTCAGTGAAACAAAGTTTTATTCCTTCATGTTCAACCCACTGCATTAAGAACTTACCCTAAATAAGGGAAGATGGTCCTTATTCGTATGGTTACTTTTTTCATCTGTTTGCTTGCTTCCCCCCCCCCCACAATATTATTTTCACTACCTCCCCCCCCACAATATTATTATTACTACCTTGTGGTTGGTGACAGATGGTAAAGCCAATGTTACAGAGCAAGCACATTTCGGGGCATCAGTCTCCATCTTCCAAACCCTGGGGTTTTTTGTTTTTGTTTTTTTACAGGGAGAACAACCACCAAAACCCCCAGTAGCTGGGGTGAGGGGAGCTAAAGCTGTTTGTCACCAAGAGCTAGCGTCCTGTATAATAACAAGCAAGAGTTACTAAATGGGGAGTTTTTTGTAAACAGGAAACAAGGACAAAGTCAACTGGGAATTACTAGGTTAATGCACACGAGATAATAGCAGGTCATAAAAAGTCAGCTGTTACAAGCCTTCTCTTTCAGGGAATTTCTTAGCACAGTTACTGTGCATAACAAAGAATGACCAGTTTAGCATCTCTTCGTGGTATTTAGTATTCAACTTCATGGGTAACAAGAGGAAGGAAAACAGGTAATGTTCGAGCAGTCTCAAGTACAACTTTCCTGCAGTTACTAAGAGCCCTAATAGTCTCCAAAGCGTCCAACAAAAGGGAAGGTTTAATGCAGTCAGAGCTCCTTCCTCGACCCCTCAGGTTTTCACCAGCTAACAAAGCTGTTTGTTAGAAGCCACCACAACACGCAGCCATTCCAAACTGTCTGTGGCTGAACCCTCACCACGTTGCAGGCTGCACCAGTAACAAAAATAACCACTTCAGGAGGCAGAGCCTGTGTTGCATCATGAAAGCAGTGCTGAAGCTAGCAGGATGGCTTCAGGCATATGGGACTGGGGTGAGGGCAGGCCTTTTCCAAAGGCACAGGCACTGCAAAACTACCACAGAGAAGTGTTAATTGACAAGAATTGACTAAGTATGCCTTAGTAGTAGTTTTATTTTTGTTTAAATGGTCGTTCATCCACCTGGCACAACTTTCACCTTGCTGCAGAAGGGCTTAATTTCTGCAAGGCTGGTAATTTTCTTGAAAGTAAGCTTTTCTTTCTCCAAAAATATAAATGACAGCTGTAGAACAATGTCAAACCAGGTGGAATTTTTAGGACTCTAGAATGAAAATGCCTGCTCATGGAATTGAAAGAAAATTGTATGTGCTGTTTGAAATTTCAGGAGCTATAAGGACACTTCAGTATCTTTAAAAAGAAGCCTGCAAAACCAAGATTGCACCAGTCTTATGTTTTGAGAATGCAGTGATGCGCTTTAACTAAGCCAACTGATAATGCTTTAGACTTGAAAGAGGTGAGTAATCTACAGTAATAACCACCAAGTGCAGTACTGGCTTGTACATCAAACAGTAGTGATCGTACTCTGCATTTTAAAACCTGTGGTGCTTCAGAAAGAAGGCATAAAGGAAAGCATTGAGGTACAGGAGCTTGCCTGTCACAAAATAGAGTGACTGATGCAAAATTGACACAATCAGAAACTGAAATGAAACAGTGCAGGAACCAGAAGCATCTACAAAGGCAGCCTGTGGCTCACAGAAGCTGGTCTGTTTGCTACAGTTCAGCTTAGGTAGGAAGTCAAGGTCCCCCAGAAAGCTGTGATGGAGTATGAAAGACAACCCTCTCTCTGACAATCAAAAGAGGGTAATATTTGTAAGCACCAATGTTAAAATATTCTGGATGGATAAAGGCAGATTATTTGTGTGCTGTCAAAATCCACTGTGGAGAAAAACAGAAACAAACCAAACTATCTGAAAGTCAATGGAAATACATACTTTGATGGAAAACTTCATGCAAAACATGGCCATACCACTAGGGCAGCTTGCCAAGAAACAAGTACGCATTTCAGTAAATTTAACTATATGATTTACCACTTCAGGCCTCAGATGTTTTTTCCTACCATGACAGAGGCTGTGACTGCTATTGACTTACAGTTTCTGCAGAGGGAAATATTCACTAGTATATGAAAACCAAATATTGAGTCAAATGATGTTTGTCAAAGCTGGAAGCGTCTCTATGTGTTAAGCAAAGAGCAAAAGACTAGAGTGTCAACAAGAGTATTCACTGAGTTACATAGTTTTTTAGGAGAAGTCAAAACATTTCAAGGGATAAAATAGCTCTCTGAACAAAGGAAGCCTATCAAATCAATGGGAAACACAAAAGAGGCATCTTAAATCTTACTCCTTTATGAT